CGGAAATTGTTGTTTGAACATTATCGGAACAGCTACAAGAAGATCTATTACATACACGCATGATCTGATGAGCACTGCAAATATAAAAATACAACCATAATTTCTCCTGCTTGTCAGATTCTTAACGAACCACGTACTAACCGTATTACCCCATACCCTCATGTGTTACCCGAGCGACTCTGCATAAAAAAATACTGCGCCAAAACAAATGGTGCTCAGCTGTAGTCACAAAAGCAGCACCTACAATTTGCATATTTTCACAAGAACTCTCAGGGATATCTGTCACTTCGACGTTGACAGTCATCCCTCAGAATCGCTCCGAAATATTGCTGAATGTTTCGTTGCAAAGATAGCAAGGGTCTAGGCATAACTGGTCTGCTGGCAAGAGCTATTCTCACAAACAGCTTGAAGTGGACTCAAGCCTTTTAAAGAACCCTTTTAATAAGAAATGGTAGCAAGTGCTTTTGACCTGATCCACTGTGAGCTTACAACCTTTGTAGACTCTGTTTACAGGTTCTCAGGAATTGAACGATTTGTAGCAATGAAAAACAAACAAACAGATAAATAGCAATAAACTAATGCAATAACTGATGCGGATACCGACTGCCCTTGGCAAATTGAGTTTTCTCAAAGGTCAGGAGAGGGGAACGACTACTGTTGGGTGGGTGGCTTCGGGTTTGACCATATTCTTGCTTTCCAACATTATCTCTCGGGTTTGCCAAGCTATTCAAACTGATAGAAAACTTCCAATTTTTACAGGAAATTATATCTAAATCAGTGCTAAGCAAGAATCAGTGATATCCTACTTTTGCCGACAGCCCCTCATCAGAGCAGCACCGATTAAAGTTAACCAGTTATTCCAAAAATCTCCAGGATTTCCATCTTTTTCAAAAACCCACAACTAGAAACTGTTCAGAAAAGGAGACGCTTCCAATGCAATTCCCACACGGGATAGCTCCTCAGAATGAACATATGCAGAAAGTTTCGTTCTTTGCCTCTTAATTTCTATTAAGCAACAACATGGTGAAAATAAATAAGTCAACAAGGGGAGCAAGTTTCTCCTCAGCCTGCGACACGCCTGGCAAGTAGCCAATCGTGCCGCGACGCGTGTCGTCGCAGGACCACCAGCGTGTTCGGCATTAAACTGGTCGCCAGCGGTTTTCGTCGTCACCAGTGTTGCGTCGATTCTCGTGTCCGGTTATGGATTTTGCTGATTTGATGCCCATGTCGGGTTCTACTCCTCCGATCGCTATTTCCGATCCCAACGGTATTCAGGAGCTCTGTACTGATGGCACCTATAACCTCACTGAACTCGGTCATTGTGCCGAAACGCTGGACCAGAATCCAATCAATGTATCTGTCTTTTGATTTTTAGTTGAAAACTGTGCATTGCATTGTTGTGTTTCGTTTGAATATGCATAGTTTTGACTGCATACCTCAAACTAGGGTCAATTAAACCTTCCCCTTCAAAATTATAGCGTAAAGATAGTAAAGGTGGAATTTAATGGCTGCAACATGGCTTCGTTGCTTTTTATATAGGGTTTTTCAAAATTAATACTCAAACTGGGGTAATTAAACCTATTCGGTCACCGCGAACCGAATTTTTATTATCCAAATGACTCTTTTTTCTAAGCTAAAATTTTATAGGTTGTTCCTTATGCTGATATATTCGAAGGTCTGGACTATGAAAGGCCATCAACTTCTCAGCGAAGTGGAATGTATGTCAAGAAAAGACCTATTGTTGTAGTAGGGTTCCATTCGCTTGAATTTCCTATTATTTTCAGTTCCCACGCGGATCACTCGTATAGGAACGTTGATTGTGGAAGTCGTGTCGAAGATGAAGATCAAGACATTCAAAAGTTTTATTACATGACAGAAGATTCATTTGAGGATGTCATCGCTAAGGTTTGTGTTTCCTGTCTCTTTGTGAACTTATGATCGAAATTTTCTTGTTTAAGTTGGAGGAAGAAATTCGAAAGGAGGAGGAGGAAGCTAAGGAAAAAGTAGCAGCCACGGATGAAATAATTAAGGTATGCTTATATTTTTTTAAAGAGTCTTTAGTCATCGAAAGTGTACCAGAAACCCGGATGAAAGGAGTCGGAAGAGCAAATGTTTGAACGTGCGGCTCTCGATAAACCTTGGCGTTATTGTTGAAATAACTTTACTGCTATAACTCCACACGAGGCTCACTATGCTCTAATGGCTTAGATGGCGACCCGTCGGTTTCGCCGAAATGCAGGTCATTAAGGTATTGTGAACCTCAATTATTTCATAGCGGCGAGTACAGTAGGAAGGAGAAGTAGAAGAGACTGCCCTAAGCTGCAGAAAACATGTCCATTAAAAAGTGCCACGTTGAGAAGACAGACATGCTGACCGTGGGAGAACGCGTTGGCCACGTAGTACGAGTTCATGAGTGGCAACATCGACGTGGCTCTATTCTAAGGATGCCTACTTGGGTGTTCATATTCTGCTCGTTTGCGGCCACTAAAAATGCTTGGTCTGTAACTCTATGTTATATCGTTGGGAAGTGGTCATTTGTTGTTTCAGGAGATGGAAAAGGATGCAAAGAATTTCATTCACGTTCGCGAGTTGATGAAAAAACGGGATAAGCACAATAAGGTTGCTGCTGAAGTGAAGGAAGAGAAGAATCGTATTATAGAGATGAAACGACAGTTGGCAATTGCCAATAGGGTTTGTTTGTAAATACATTAAGCCATCATTCTGTGCTAGTAATTCTTTAATTCTGTACCATTTATCCTTTCACTTTTCAGAATACGGCCATGTTTTGCTGCTTTGTATGCAGCAAAGTTTTCCTGGACGAAGAACAAATGCGTCAGCATGTCTCGGAACAACATCTGGCGTCGAAGAAGGTATTAGTTACTATTACGAAAATTTCGTGTATCGTTTATATTCGATTTGCTACAATTTTATCTCACCTAATCGGTTTCATTCTTTCAGCAATATAAGTACAAGTGTCCATCCTGCTATCGAGTATTCATCAAACAACAGCACCTTCGAAATCATTCATTTACCCATCAAAATACGGGAGTGTCATGTTCAATATGTAAGCGGTCGTTCAGGTAAGTCGCGTTACTAATGTTGTGGGTTTCCCATGCTGCTGTTTCGGACTGTGATGTACAGTAGGGTGTGTCCGTTGCCATCGCGTTATGCACCAACTTTTAACCACCAAAACTTTTAAATGCATGAACTGATACAGCATCGAGTGGTTGTAAAGGGAAGAAATGTACAGCGACTTTGAAGGTGCAAAATGGAGGATGCCCAACTCAAACTTTTTAGACGTTCTGTGGGGAAGTTGTGCGACGCTGCAGGGGTAATGCCATAGTGCTAGGGGAACCCTGGGATAGGACGAGGTGAACTCAGAGAACAGAAGGCAGCGGTTTTGCAATGGTGAAGCCAGTGACGTGTGTGCACATGACGGGCGCATACAAGTGCTGGCAAAAGACGCGAGTCTAGGTAACCTAGCTGTCTACAGAAGATGCAAGAAGCTCATCACGAGTAAAGGCGTTCGCGAAGGTAAAGACGGTCGAAAACAGCGAAGGTGCCAGAAAATCTAAATCTTCGCAGCGTTGGTGTCGAAACCAGATGGCAAACATTAAAAAGTTGAAATCACTGTAAACAGCAGCAACTGGGGCCCTATATACTGCCATCACCCTCATTATACATTTTTAGGGAAGCTGTGTCGTTGAAAATCCACATGAGCAAGGTGCATAGTCAATCCGAGGACGGAA